GACCGGGCCTTGCTCAGTTGCCCAAGCTGGCCTTCAGTTTATGATCCTCCTGCCTCAGCCTCCGAGTCACTAGGAGGAGAGGATGCGCCACCCACCCCGTTTAAGACCCTTCCCTCCATCTCCCTCCTTTCCTTCTCCCCCCTCTTCCTGTGTATTGGTCAAGAAGGTCAGAAGGTCCCCACTCCCCACCCCCATGCTGGGGACCCCTCCCAGGGCAGGGCACGCACTGTACCACTGAGTCACAGCCCCAGACACTCATAGATTCACAGTGACTGTTGAATATCTCCTAAAGGTGACATAGCCAAAGTGGCAGGGTGGCACCACCGAGCCGGATCCCAGTCCCAGCTGTGGATGAGGTGATGACATTTCCCACCAGCACTTGTCCTGATGTCCGATGACTAAACACCCCCCCTTTCTGTCCAAGACACAATCCGCAGCCTTCTGAAGAACAGGACTCCCCTCTGAGGCCCGTGGCACGTGGACCCGGTGACACTCAGCGTCCTGAAAAACTTGGATGACGGAAACTTGTGAACACAGACAAAATGAACCAAGACCCACAGATCAAATCCCCACGGAGGGTCACCAACATGGCCTGGGTCCTGCTTCAAAGGGGAATCTCAAACACGGGGTCATGGTACCCACCGGCGTCACCCCTGGGTGACATTGTTTTTTACATACCTGCCAGGCCATTATCATCTGTCACCAAAAAAAAAAAAAAACCCAATTCCTTCAATAAATGCCCGAATTTGTATTGAAGTTGAAGTGGGTTTGGAGAATTCACAGACTTCTCTTGAATTGTCCTCTTGCTGCCCAGCTCAGCTCCAGGGAAGAAGGCCACTGCCTCCCCTCCCCCACCCTGGGGACAGCCTGGGCCCCACACAGACCAGGGGCCTCCCATAGCCCAGCGCCAGGCTGGAGGTCCCCTGGGCAGACCTCTGCCTTCAACAGCAAAGTCTCCTCGAGGTCACTCACCCCCAACATCCTTCCAGAACCTTCTGTGTTTTTACTTACGACATAGTTTGAATTTTCATATTACATAGTATACCTATCATTTTAAATATTACATTATAATTTTTTTTTGGGGGGAGTAAAAGGACCAAGGATCGAACCCGGGGCCACTCGATCACGGAGCCCCCTCCCCAGCCCTGTTTTATATTTCATTTAGAGACAGGGTCTCACTGAGTTGCTGAGGCTGGCTTTGAACTCGAGATCCTCCTGCCTCAGCCTCCCGAGCTGCTGGGATTAGGGGTGTGCACGGCCGTGCCTGGCTTTACCCCAGTTCTTTAACCTGCATAGAACGCTCCCTGCCCCAAGGACCTCAGAGTCCAACGTGGCCACAGGAAATTAGACCAGAACTCCTTACCCATGTTCTCTCCTCTTTTCTAATGGAGCTGTGGTCCCCAAGAAAGAGGACACCTTCTCATGATTGTTCCCATTGGCTTTTTTCCATTTCCTGAATGCCAAATGTTCACTCTTCCGGGACCCATAGAATATATCTGATTCCTCTCCTTTCCTTCCCCTATAGAAGGAAATCAGTATCAGGGCAGAAAAGAAGCTGCAAGGAGTTTGGTAACTGAACCCCTAAACCTTACCATTAGATGGCTGTGTGACCTCAAGCAAGTGACTTAACCTCTCTGTGCCTCCAGGTCTCGTGCGAAGTTCTCTGGGTAGCTGCTCCGAGATCCCACCCTTCCCTCACCTGCAAGAAGGTGAGGCAGTCGCAAAGAGACTTTAACAGAGGCCAGAAGCTCACACTTGGAACACAGATTGAGATGGCACCTACCTATGGGGGCTTCTCAGCCTGCAGGTTAACCTGGAGATTCTCTGTGGAGGAGCAGCAGGAAGTCCTGCTTTGAAGTCAGGGAGACCAGGGTTCAAATCCTGACCCAGCCACTTCCCAGCATGTGAATGAAATCAAATCATTTCAATTTTCGAATCCTCCCTTTTCTCATCCTGGAACAGGACAGGGTACTCTCTGATTTAGAGCATTTGTTTAATAGATGCTCTCGGATGGGGGAAGACAGGTCCCGCCCCCCCACAGATGTCCCTTCAGTGTCCAAAGGCTGAGTGGCACTCGGCACTGTCCAGGGGACTGTCTAAAAGTGTCCTCAGCAAGGCTGGGGGGTTGCTGTGTCACCATTTTTATGGATAGGGAAACCAAGGCCAGGCTGTCTGGCTGTTGTCTGTCTATGACTATGTCTGTCTGTCTGTCTGGCCAGTAAGCACGTGCCTGCTGAGTCAGGTGGCCTGGCCGGCGGCGGTTTGGGAATGCAGGGAAGCCAGATGCCACGCTCATCTGCTGAGCTGGTCTGGGCAGTCAGCTGTGCCACAGAAGGCTGCCCTGTGAATCACGTGTGCACGTGCACACACACAGGAAGGTGAGGTCACTCAGGTTAGACGTGAGCAGGGACTTCCCTGATACCTCCAGCAGGTCTGTCATGGCCTTTGACATCTGGATGGAGAGACAGAAGATGCCCTGCGGTTTGCATTTCTAGAAGGTTCCCTGGTGATGCAGAGACTACTGGTTTGGGGACCACACTGAGGAATAATCTAGTGCATGTCCTTTTGCATGCGTCGGGGTAGACCTCAAGTTTCTTCTTAAAATATCCCTGGGGTCAGAAGACTCGTTGCTTCTCTTATCAGTGTATTTAATTTCTAGATCTGATTTGGAAGATAGGAATTTTTGTTTGTACTTGTGCCAAGTTGAAAACACAAATTCTATGGGGCTGGGGTTGGGGCTCAGTGGTAGAGCGCTCGCCTAGCATGTGTGAGGCACTGGGTTCGATCCTCAGCACCACATAAAAATAAAATAAAGGTGTTGTGTCCACCTACAACTAAAAAATAAATGTTTTAAAAAGAAGACCAATTGGAAGAGAGTCTCCCTCTCCCTCCTCCCAACCCATCATATTACCAAGCCCCGCCCATATTTCCCCCTCTCTAAATCAGTGTCATCCAATAGAAATACATTTGGGAGCAGTTTGGAAATTCTGTAGCTCCTAAAAATTCGCAGTGAAATTTTTAATACTCTATTTTAAAATAGTAACTCGTTATGTGCAAAATATGACCTTTCAGATATATCAGGGGCACTTTACCACTGACTTACATCCCAGCCCTTTTTAAATTTTATTTTGATATGGTCTTGCTGAGTTGCCCAGCCCGGCCTCAAACTTGGAATCCTCCTGCCTCAGCCTCCTGAGTCGCTGGGGTTACAGGCATGTGCCACTCTGCCTAGCTCAGAATATTATTTTAATAGATCATCAGTACCAAAAAGGGATGTGCCTTCCACATACCAGGCGAGTGTTCTACCTCTGAGCTACAACCCCAGTCTCTGAGGCTGGCTTTGAATCGCGATCCTCCTGCCTCAGCCTCCTGAGTCACTGGGATTTCAGGTGTGCACACCATACCCGGCTCCAAAAAAATTCACTGAGCGTTTTATGCTTTCCTGGATCTTGGAGCCAACAAATACATAAACGTGGGCCGAAGCTCGGTGGCAGAGCACTTGCCTAGCATGTGTGGGGCACTGAGTTGGAGCCTTAGCACCGCATAAAAGTAAATAAATAAAATAAAGGCATGCTGTCCATCTACAACTACAAAAAAAAATTTTTTTAAAAATCAAACACATAACGAGGAAACACATGTCATGAGAAAATGTATGGTACTTTGGTGAACAATGAAGTAGGGTGACAGGAAGGTGGTTCTGGGGCTGCTGCCTTATCCTGGGTGGCCAGGGGAGGCCTCTGAGAGTAGGAGACTCTTGAACAGAGACCTAAGACATGCTTTCTAGGCAGAGAATATTCTAGATGCCTGGAACAGCTAGTGCAAAGACCCTGGGGTGGGGGGGCTTGTCTGGAGCGATGGGGGGACACTCCAGTGGATCTGGGGCAGAGTGGGGGAAGAAGTCACAGGAATCAAGGTCAGAGAGAGCCTGAGGTGTGGGGCAGGTGCCACAGAACCTTGTGAGGTTTCGTGCTGAGAGTGGGGCATCATGGGAGGGTGCTGGGCAGAGGGGAGATGTGAGCAGACCTGGATTCCAACACGACCCTTTTACCGTGATGAAAACAGGGGGCGGGGACAAAGTGATAGTGGTGACTGTGGAAGTGGGGGACAGGGCTGGACTGGAGACATGTCAAAGGTGGGAGCCAATGGAATTTTCCAGAAGGGTTGGGTAAGTAGACTATGAAAGAGCAAAGGGTCAAGGCTGATTCCAAGATCTTGGGCGTGAGCTTGGGGTCTGGCGACTCCTCTTGCAGGGAGCCCTCCTGGGACCCGGCTCCCTGGGCCTTGCCAGTCTGCCCTGTGGCCTGGGTGCTTCCCGACGGTGGTGGCTTTGGTTTCCTGTCCTGCAGCCCGGGTGACTGGTGAGGGTGTGAAAAGCAGAGGTCCCATGAGGGCCGTCCTTCCCGCCCCCCTGGGTGGGACCTGGGTTTTCCCTCTTGTGCAAGGCAAAGGGTTCTCTCCAAAATTGTCCAGCTTTAGCCCAGTTTCCTGCCCAGAGAGGGCACTGCCAGTCCCCACCTAGAGGAGTCCTGAGCCTCCTCTCCTGCCCCCTACGCCACAACTGTCTATCAAGTGCAGTGGCACCTGGCAGTGGCCTCCAACCTGAAAAGCGCGTCGGGACACATGGCTGGGATCTGAATCAGGCTCCCTGGTGGCAGGTGGAAGGGGCACCTGAGCCACGCCCGCCCCCAGCTCCTCCCTTCTCAGAGCTTGGCCCCGCCCAGGGGCACCTGAGCCACGCCCCCAGCTCCTCCCTTCTCAGAGCTTTGCCCCGCCCAGGGGTCCCTGAGCCACGCCCCCAGCTCCTCCCCTCCCAGAGCTTGGCATCGCCCAGGGGCAC